CTGTTGGAATAAGTAAAATAAGAATTTTAATCCCTTCTCTTCTGCTTATTAGTTGAATGATGCTACTGTAAGTCTGTCAGACACTCCAAGCATTAATTTCTTCATCTTTTAAATGGGAAAATTATTATCTGCATCATAGGATTTGAAAAACGAGTAAATGAAAGGGGGCAGCTTAACAATATATAGTAAGTACTCAGTAAACTTAACTGTCAGTGATAGTTTTATAAAGAATAATTCACTGCGTAAACGAACTTAGATTTTAGCAAAGGGATTTAGTATTTTTTCCATAACTAATTATAAACGTACTGCTTCCTGAATTAAAGCCAATTTTATAGATTTTTGAATTTTTTTCCCAAGTAAAATATTTTACAAAAGCAGTAAATTTTGTACTACCAGGTTTGTTGTTTATAAGGGGAAAAGTTATGTATACTCCTTAAACTTCATTTTCATTCAGACTTTCCTATTAAGTAAAATGATGTCACTGAAGGAAAATGGAAAAATATTTTTTTATTAAGTAAAGCAGTTCTTACACTAATCATAAAAATATAATAACATCGAGAAAATGAATTTATTTTAAATATTAAACATTTAAATATTAAATATTTATTTTGAATTTAAATATTGAATTATGCACTTCCTTAATTATCCTAAAAGGGCTATATTAGAAACCAAAACCAAACCCGTTGTCATAATATTTATTTTAAATTTAAATATTGAAGTTATCATAAGGTGAAAAAAAGCGCAGTCACTTTGAAAATGTTTGAGGATAGAGATACTATGCTGAGCTATTAATATTTTAGTAAAGGTAGCTCTTATTAACATTTATGTCTTGATATCAGGGAAGCTGATATATAGTAATTCACAAAATCATGTACTTCCAGCATGTATGTTCATTTGCAATTAATGGAAAAATCAGCTGAAATTGTAATGGCTATGAATGCCAAAATTAATGAGAGCAGTAATGCTTTACCTATGAGTTTTGGTAATTAAACCACGAACAAAAGTGTATTCTGATATATTACTGTTTAAAAAAAAAAAGAAAAACCAAACCATTGCTGTCGAGTTGATTCCGACTCATAGAGTTTCCAAGGAGCGCCTGGTGGATTCAGACTGCCAACCCTTTGGTTAGCAGCCATAGCACTTAACCAGTACGCCACCAGGGTTTCCATATTACCGTTAGTAAAGGCTTATTCCTAGTTTTATCATTGTATCAACAATTTCAGACTTAACATCTTCCGAAGTTCATTCGTGGAAAAAGGGAGCTCTATCAGAGTAGCCTGACTGGTATGTACTCCAATCTGTGACTAGTTTAGATAACTCTAATGAGCCTGATAAAAGATGGGTCCTTCAGATCTGCTTTGGAGTGTGTTAGCCACACCAGTTACAAGGAAAGCTCTGTGAATGTATTCACTTGTGCATGTGTTAAAAAGGGCAGTATATGCACTACCACCTATGGTGTGCCGCTGTATTCCTCTTAACTCCATGTTGAGCAGAGCATAGCATATTCAGATGTGGAATTTGTGTTGAGGCTTTTATTCTACTTCATATAATAATGCTGCTTTTAATCACATGTAATTGTCTTAAATTTGAAAACGCTCAATTTGGGATAATTGGTATTTCTTAAAAGTTAAATCTACACTGAGAAATGGAATTTGCACAAAAATCTTTTGGAGTAGTAGGGCCTATCCTACATTATCATTATAATCTTGAGAATCTCTGTGGACCATGGCATAACAGTCTTTCTGTGTTACACTTGCATCCACATCTGCAAGACATTTTAATTCGAATGTCCAGTTATTGTATTTATCAGTGACAGAAGATAGCAAGATATGAATTGGTTTATTGGTTGAGTTGGCTTGATACTAATTTTGATAATTCATCTCAGTTAAATTTTGACACAAACTAGAGAATTATCAACTAATCCTTGACACTGATTTTAAAAATTTTCACATAAACCTTGTGAAAAACTATTTAACAACAGTATCCATTCTGTAAAGTAATTGAGGAAACATTATATTTTATTATTTACTTGATATTGTATTCTAATTTCTAATAATTCCAAGAATATTGTGAATGAGTAATAAAAAAAGCAGAAACTACAAGAGGTGGTGAATTATATACAGGAAAGCATTACATAACTAGCAATTTAGTTCATAGGACTAGGTCCTGGGTAACTTAGATTGTAGCCTGAGGTTTATTGCTAAAAGCGGGGATCTTGAACAAATTGATTAACTATTGTGACCCCAATTTCTTATACACAAAATGTACATAACACTTTGACTCATTCATTCATTCGTTCTATTGAAAAATATTTTTCAACCACCTATTACTTGCCAGGAAACCCTGGTGCCATAGTGGTTAAGTGCGATGGCTGCTAACCAAAAGGTTGGCAGTTTGAATCCACCAGGTGCTCCTTGGAAACTCTATGGGACAGTTCCACTCTGTCCTATAGGGTTGCTATGAGTCGGAATTGAGTTGAGGGCAACAGGTTTGGGTTTTTTTTGTTTTTGTTTTTTTATTACGTGCTAAAGGCGCCGTGGTGGTGCAATGGTTAAGAGCTCTGCCACTAACTGAAAGGCTGACAGTTGGAACTCACCCAATGGCTCCATGGGAGAAAGACTTGTTGATCTGTTCTCCTAAAGATTACAGCCTAGAATACTCTATGGGGCAGTTCTACTCTCTCATATGGGGTCACTATGAGTCAGAATCAACTCTACAGTGCCTAACAACAACAACAGTTATGTGCTAGGCACTCTGATCGGCATTGCAGATATAAAGATGAATTAAAACAGATGGTCCCCTCCTTCACAGGGCCTACAGTCTAGTGGGAGAGATGGATGTCAATTAAGTAATTACAACAACGAATGGAAACTTGGGTCAATAACAAGAGTTACTAAATGCTTAAGATAAGGGTACTGGCGGGGTGTTGGTCAAGTCGGGGAGGTCAGGAAATACTGAAGAAAAAATGACTAAGTTGAGTGGTGACCAGTGAGAGTTTAAAGAGGAGAAAAGAGGAAGGAAGCCTTTTCTGAGTACGGGGAACTGCTTATGCAAACAAAGCTCCTGTGTTGAGAGGGAGAACAGCAATTGGAAGGAGTGAAAGAAGGCCAGTGTGTACAAAGAGTGAGGATCAAATAGAGTGATTATATGAGAAAGTTTCATCTTTTTTTAGTTATGAAACGCTATAAAATTATAAAGTGACATTACCATATAACGTAAGAAATAGATTTCCAGGGATTTTCAGTGGAAATGAAGACTAGAATTCAGAAAATATTTGGCTCTTCATTATCTATGGAAATCAGAAATTAAGAAAGGCTTTTTTTTAAGTGTGCAGACCCTCTCAGAGGACAATTTAATAAACGCCTACCATATTCCTGTCAATAGGATAGGCATTGGGAATACAAAGATTAAAAACATGGCCCCTTCCCTCAGGCGTTTACAGATAATCTACAGTAGTTTCTTATTGTACTCCAAATTTATTCCAACCACTTTGCTATATAAAATCATAAAGCCTCAAAAATATTTCCCTATTTTCCCCCTGAACTCTTGTAGACTAAATGCTACTTAGTAGAAAATCATCAAGTGACAGACAACTAGAAGCAGAGGGAAATTGAAGAAATCATAAACTGCAAATTGGCCTCGAGTAATAGAGAATTGACTTACTTGTTACTGTTGATATACATTTATTCCACTTATACTGTATTTAGTAGAATTCAGCGTATGTGCCTGTGTGTTATGCAAACACACATACATGAATTTGGAAAGTAAAGTATAATGTTACTATTTTAAAAATGGAAATATATTGCAAACTATTCTATATGGCAAACTACTTAATAGGTGAGCAATCTTCCTAGTATTTTTCTCTTGAGGTCAGAAAAATTCACACCATTTCTGTGTTTCTTGTCAGGAACAACTCTAGGTCCTCTCATGGAACCTCCAACTAGGTCAATATATTAATTCTGTGATTTTATATGTGAAAGAAAAATATCAAACAGTATAAGTTATTAGTCACTTTTAAGGTTTTTTTTAAAAAGAATTTATAGGAAGAGTTTAGCTTTTAAAAAGATATTTCAAACAAGTTGTTTACTAGGTTTTTCCAACTGGTTTTAAACTTTTTTCCAACTGAATTTAACTTGTTTTTGGCCATTTTTATTGGCTGATTACAGTATGGTTTTTAGCTGCATTTTATTTATCCTTAACTATTAATATAGCATCTACAAAATAGTACTAAATGATATAAAATTATTTTTTTTTTAAAAAAAGCAATACTGGTTGAGGAAAGAAACATGTATATAATAGCAGTTTATTATTACACACATGTGTATATTTTATATATATGTGTATATATATATATGTGTATATATATATATGCATCCATGGCAGAGCAGTTATTAAGCACTCAGCTACTAACCAAAAGGTCTTCAGTTTGAACCCACCAGCTGCTCTGCAGGAGAGAGATGTGGCAATCTGCTACTGTAAATGTTACAGCCTTGGAAACCCTAGGGGACAATTCTACTCTGTCCTATAGGGTTGCTATGAGTTGGAATCAGTTCAATGGCAAGAAGTTTATATATATGTGTGTGTGTGTGTATATAAGTATGTATGTATATGTACATATATGTTCATACATATATTAAGAGCAATTAGATATTTCGTAGTAACGTTCCATCATTGTTACTATTATCCCTGAGCCAAAGTGTAATCAGGGCATAAAGTTCTGTATATTTTAAAGCAAAGTTGTTGAGGCAAATGTACTTAGACTACACTGACCCAGTGCAAGACGCAGAGAACTAGTCTTTGTGAATAAAATAGCATGGACTAAACTAAAATTTTAGAGGAAAATAATATTAGAACAAGATCTTAGGGAAAACTGGGCAGAATGTCAATAGATCCGTTATTCTATTTTTTATGGTAGGAAATCATTGAACAGTCAAATCACCCATTGATAATAAAGTCCAAGTATACTTCAGATGAGAAGCTCATTTTGTGTTTTTTTTTAGGTGTTACTACGCCTCCGGCTCCTTTCACCACAGTAGCTGGAAGCACAGGCACAACAGGAACGGGGGGCATCCCCTTCACCAGTCCTGGGGGCATATCAGGTAAACTAAGTTCAGACATAAAGTCTACTAGTCACAATTAAGCGACTGATTTTCAAGCAATGCTGCTCAAACAGTATTTTTTCATGCAAAACAGAGCTGACTTAGGTAATTAGTCCTAATAAAATGTAATATGTTTAGTGTTTTCACAAGTTGCTTTCTTAAAGTATATCATGTTGTAACAATTATGTACATAGGTGACCTTGGTAGTTGATAGGGCCTAGGCACTTTTCTGGCATGCATTTTTTCCTTACCTTCATCAGGGACAACTGGAGTATCAGCAGGTACAACCACAGGAGCTAGAGATGGAAGCACAGGCAATACAGGCTTCAGAACAAGGGAGACAAAGAAATGAGTCACATGCTTTCTCTTTCTAGCTTATTTCAGCAAGTTGACTTCCATTTGAAGTTAGAAACAACTATATCCGAAGTGCACTATTAGATAATGGGAGTCTAGTGTCAGTGGTAAATAAATCAGCTGGGTGACTTTGGAAAAATTCAATCATATATATTTATATATTAATAAAATATTACTGATATGGCACACTAAAATTTCTGAATTATGCTCAAACATATATTATGTAATTTATTCCACATTAGTACTGTGAAAGTTAGGTATCATTATTCCAAAGAGGTAAGAAAATAACAAAAGATCTCATAGCTAGTAGGTGGCGGAGGCAGGAGTAGAACCCAGGATCCTTAGCTTTCTCTGTAATAGCTAGGTCCACAGCACTGTGATTCTGTGTATAGGAGAGTACATGCAATAAAAGCCACTGAGACTGATTCTCTTCTCATCTTGCATCACTGACTGAATTTCAACTCTTTAGTTTCATGAATAAAATGTTATTGACATCTTTTAACTATAGATAATTTTGATTAAAAACAAACCAAACAACTTGAGTTCACCCCATTCCTTATGGAGGCAGTTATCATCATTTTAAATACCTAAGTTCCCTTTCCTCTGAATCACTTTTGACTTTGCTTTTGTTCAGGTTTTAACTCTTTCCACCTGGGCTTCTACAGTAGCCTACCACCTTCTTCTTACACAGTGGTCCTCAAAGTGTGGCCCCCAGACCAGCAGCATCAGCATCTTCTGGGAACTTGTTCGTAATGCACTATTTCAGGTCCAACTGCCTAGAATCAGAAGCTCTTGTGGTGGGGCCCAGCAATCTGTATTAACAAGCCCTTTAGGTGATAGATGCTCATCAAGGTGGAGAACCACTTTTCTAACATTTCTACTCACATCTCTCCCAATTTACACTCGAGTCAATGCCATTCCGAAAGGAACTTCCAACAACTCAACTACCATCACGTCACTCTACTGCTTTTACTCCCTCAATTGCTCTGATTGCTCTTAGGATAAATTCAGACTCCTTTGCATACCATTAGAAGTCATCTTTAGTGTTATGCATGGGACTCCTCTTAATACATTTTTTTAAAAGTAATCCATGGCTTGATTTTATTTTTCCTACGTTTATTTTCCCTTATCAAATTTCTTAATTTAAAATTTATGATTGAAATACTTTTGGGAATATGAGAGAATTTACATAAATTATTAATGTGTTAAAACAGATAATCTACAGCAGTATAAATGTGCAAACTGATTAATTTTCATTGGAATTGGGAAATGATTTAAATTTTAGGATGATACCATTTATATTTCTGAAAATCTCAATCAGAATTATTTGGGTAATAATGACAAGTCAACCAGAGATCTCTTTTGGTTATCAGGCAGTAAGTGTGGTGGTTTAGTGCAGGGCTACTCAAAGTCTAGTCCACAGACTAGTGTCATCCAGAAGTGTTTGCTACTGTTCGTAATGTGATGCAGCTGACGCAGAGAGCAAGCGTTTAGAAACAGCAGTCTGACAACAATTTTACGCCAGTTGCATTTACAGTATTAAATGGAGGCTTTTGGATGCTTTTCTTTTCTTTTATTTCTCTAGTTATTTACTTTTATTTCACCCTTCGACATATCAAAATACGATAGATTGGAAATTTTACAAAATCAGTCTTTTGCCACAGACTGTGAAGCAAGAGATTAGAGTAAAAACTCTGGGGATAGATTGAGTTTGTTTGGATCCTGGATCTGCAGTTGATCAACCATGGGACCTGAAGCAAGTCACTAACAACATCTGTTAAATTGGAATAACTATAGTACCCGCCTTAGAGAATTTTTATAATTTTTATAAGGATTGAATGAGCTAATTTATGTCCTGGGCATTGTTTTTTAATTGCTGTTTTCTGTGGGGGGAACAGAAAGACCCACTGACTCAACAATTGGGGGTGAAAGAGACAGCACTTCTAGTGAACCAAGAACTGGAGCCACAAGGCAAGGTTAGCAACTGAACACTTAACTGCATTACCAGGGCTCAGTGGGAGAAAGATGTGGCAGTTGGCTTCCATAAACTTGGAAACCCTGTGGGGCAGTTCTACCCTGACCTACAGGGTCAGTATGAGTAACTCACATTTTAAGAAACCAAAATCCGACCTGTTGCTGTTGAGTTGATTTTGAATCATAGAGACACACACTTTAGGACCTATTAAATGGCACTTAACATATTATGGGTTGAACTAAGGATTAAGCCCTACCTATAGGGTTGCTATGAGTCAGAATCAACACAACAGCAACGGGTTTTTTTTTTGTTTTTTACGTGATATTAGAACATCTGGCTGCAGGAAATCCTAGGGGTTATTTCAAAATTTCTTTTATATCAGAAACCTCAATTCTGTCACATTTGAAATGAATAGTGATATGTAGAATCCTGCAACCCTTGAAGTAACCCTTCTCTGCTTTTACATGAGAGATCCTAGAAGTATTAGAGAGCTTCACAACACCACCAGTGATCAAGGGCACAAGTGGAGCCTCAGGGGCTCCTGGAGCAGCCTCAAAAGGGGAAGCAGCTATGGAAGTGAGAGGATTGTAGCATCTCCTTACTGACCTTAGCGAAGTCATCAGTGACCTCTCTGAGATTACATGACTAAATGCACATATTCATGACCTCATTACCTCTGGATTTATGGGCTTGATGGCAGTGTTTCTCTAACATCAGCTGAAAGGTGATTTATAGCACAGCATGTTGTACTTCAGTTATATTTTCAAAATGTGGTACATGTGAGATCATTATAAGTGATTAATGGTGAGTGTATTTTTTTATTTAGTTTACTTAGTTTAATATGGATTAGAAAAAAACAAAACTGTCTATCAAACCTGTGATTTCATGGTACAGTAAAACCTGTTGTGTAAGGCGGAAACCTTGGGAGACCTGGAAAAACAAGGCAGTCCCTCAAGTTCCAACTCTCACAGGTTTCACTGTACAGTTTTCCACCTTTGACAGGGTGCAGTGTTACCACTTTTCTATCGCTTGTTTTAGTGGAAAATATTTGAGTTTTCCTTCTCTGAAAGGTTTCTGCCTTACACAGGTTCTGGCTTTGGCAGGCTTTACTGTTAATACTCCTTAAAATTAGTTCATTTAAAGTTGATTTGCAGTGGGAAAAAATCATGTGTTTTGTAGTAGTATCCCTCAAATTTCCTGAAAGTAACATGGGGAGGTTGAAGTTTGGGCAGCGCTGAGTTAGGGTGAGTCTCTGAATAATCTTGCTCCCCATCCTTTGGGTCAGGTTCAGCTGGCACATCAGCTAGCATAACTAGTGGGAGCAGAAGTCAGAAGTTCACCAGGAGCACCAGGCAGTGAGAGGACAACTACTGGAGGCCAGTCGGGTGAGGGGAAGAGGAAACAAGTCAGTTCTCAAGGAATTGCCCTCAGCTGAGCCTGTGGTGGCTCTTACACAGCTTCTCAAGCAGGGCTTTGAACTGGTTCCTTCTGGTTAGAACCCATGCTGACAATTTGCATATATAACAAGTTTCTGGTGGTGTAGTGGTTAAGTGTTCCACTGCTAACCAAAATGTCTGCAGTTTGAATAAACCAGCTACTTTGTGGAAACCCTACTGGGCAGTTCTCTGTCCTATACGGTCTCTATAAGTTGGAATTGACTCAAAGGCAACAGGATGTTAACAAGTTCCTAGGTGATCTACTACTGCTGGTTAGGGACCAATTTTGAAAACCTCTAGTACAGCATTGGTTCTAAAAATTTCTAACACGTAAAGATCACCTGGAAATCTTGTTAAAATGTAAATTCTGATTCAGTATATCTGGGATGGAAATGCAAATTCTCAGCAGGGGTTCAAACCTGAACAAATCAGTTCAAAGCCCTGTTCTCAAAAGTCAGTTTAGTTAGTTGTTAGAGACCATGGTATCCTGGATGAGAAATTGTTCATCAAAGACGTATTTTCACACAAGTATGCTTTTGCTCAAAAAAAACTGTAAGCAATCTTCCATTCATCTGTGTGTTGGTTTGGAAATCACTTGAAATGACCATTGATGGAAAAGCCGAAATAGCATGGTGAAATCTTAAACTTCTTCCTGGAATGACAGTGAAAGGCACCTAGATTTTAGCTTCAGGAAAGCAAAGACCTTATATTCTTTTTCATAACAGAATCTCTAACTTTAGCATATATCTGACATAAAGTAGGCACTAATGAGGGTTTCTTGAGTTACTGTTTTTGGTAGCAGAATGTGAAGAAGCTTCTGTTCACTACCATTTGAATTTGATTGTAGTGATACATACCCACTAGACACAGTGATTTTTGAAAACCAGTAAGCAATTAAAGAAGATTCTTGACTTGAAGAATAGTGAATTTGAATTTTGCTTTGAAACATTAATCTGATGAATGCATACAGAATAAAATTAAGGAGGAAACATTCCAGGCATAAGTGATGAAGCCTTAATGTAGTTTGATGATTGTGGAGATGAGAGGAACAGGTAGGTGTGACAAGTAACCTGAGGCTGGCAAGCATAATGACCCACTCTAAGATTAAGAATCGCACCATCTCAATATTACTCCTTTTCTTTTGCCTGGCACTGTGGGATCATCCGTAGGACCAACTACTGGGACAGGAGCTTCAGCTTCACCAGGCAGTGAAGTTACATCATCTGAAGGCAAGTCAAAATGATTAATATATAACATGATGTCCCTGTATTGGCAGCATAATAGACAAATACAAAGTTTGGACTGAATTTCAGGTCAACATACTTGGATCCATCAACATAGTGCTAATTTACCTTTTTCTCTCAATAAAATTAATCAGGCAAAACTGAGGTGTCACCTGGCACAACGCTTGGATCTGGAAGTAGCAGCACCTTCGGGGAAATAGGCACTGGAGCTACAAGTTCTGAACCATCAGGCAAGTCCAGATATAAGATTTTGGAGTTTCCAAACAATTTCTCTAACAGCAGTTTGATATTTAAACTGAAGACTCAGTTATAACTAACGTTATATTCAAGAGCAGAGGAGAAAGAAATGATAGCGATGGATTCTTTGACTTCCAATTTCAAGAGAAACTTCAAGTGCTTTACATTAGAAAGGACACAGATTGCCTTAATCATGATTTCATGTGTTTCAGGGACCTCAGGAGTCTCTGCAGGTTCCACCACCACCAGTCCTGGGAGTAAGGGCATAAATGGAGCCTCAGCTACACCAGCCACAACCACTGGAAGCCAGGCAGGTAAGTAAAAGGGAAAACACAGCGTTACTTGTTCAAGGTAAAAATGGAATGTTTGTGGACCCCTCCTCATTGTATTTATGTGTCAGTGTTGTGTAGAATGGAATGACATAGAAGTAGACAGGAGGTAGGGAGCCCAATTACAGGCTATTTCCAGTGCCAGGCGAGAGGTATGAGCTAGATAGTGCTTTCCTATCATTATGATCTGATCATTGTAATTTTAAGTGTGCTTATTAGATATCCATGCTATAAGGCTTCACTCTTGTCAATTCATATTCTGTGAGTCTGAGTGGGAGGCAGACACAGGTAGACACATGTCTGTTTAACAAACATACCAGGTGATTCATTTTATCGGCCATTTGTAGGAGCAATGGAGTAATGGCACTGGGAGTAAAGAAGTGTGACCGATACAGAGAGATATTTTGGAGACATTAAGTTCCTCTGAACTTAACCAATGACAATGATGTTACAATTATTCTCCATTTTACAGGATCAACCAGACCACTAGCTAGTACACCTGGACCATCAGCTGGTACACCTACTGGGCCAAGTGGAACAACTGGAGCACCAAGCAGTGAAGTGACACCATCTGAAGGCAAGTCAGGTGAGTTGAGGACAGCACTCCAAGGCCCTGGGTATGTGGTCATTAATAATTATGAGTCAGAATTCTAATTATTTTAATCAGTGTGCTTTTAACAAAGTACAAATGTCAAAACATGTAGGTGGTTGAAGAAAAGATGAACATTTTCAAAAAGATTGAAATTTTGTCTTAGATCTCTAAATGTCCTTCAGAAGTACTGTCGGTTGAGCCCATTGTTGCTGTGTTTATCAGGTACCACAGGAGGGTCCGTGGGAGTGACCACAGGAGCAGGCAGAGGAAGCACAGCTGAAACATCAGGCACTGGGGCCACCAGCTCTGGAAAACCAGCAGGCAAGCAAAACCTCACCTGGAGGGCTGTGGTGCGGCTGACACAAGTTTAGCTGAAACCTCAGATTTTGATAATGAGTTTAAAGTAAAGGTAACTAAGGACACCACCACTTGTCTGTCAGTTTGTCATACTGTGATGACTTGAGACAAGTCAGTTCTCAATCATTTTCCCTCCATTGAGGGCGGTGCAGAACCAGGCAGTGTTTCATTCTGTTGTTGTAGGAGGTCGCTATGAGTTGGAACTGATTTGATGGCACGTAAAAACAACAACTAAAGATGTCATTTTAGGAGCTAAAGACATGAATGAAACTGTGAATATTCCTGAAGGTATGCTTCCTTCTGTCTATAGAAATTAACCACTGTTGTTCTTCTCAATCAGGAACAACTGGAGGAACAAGTGCAGCCACCACTGGAGCTGGTGGTGAAAACACATCTGGAGCATCAGGTAACTAAGGAGCATAACCAGTATGAAGTCCAGCTGGTAGATGTGAGCATTTTCTTAAGCTGACATTTTTTTCTATGATAAAAATCAGGAACACCTGGGGTATCACCTGGAGCGACTTCTGGACCCGGAAGCAGCAGCACCCCTGGAAAAGAAGTCACTGGAGCCCCGGGTTCTGGTAAGATAGGCCAGGCTGGACATGGTGCCTGAGCAGTTCCCATCCGGGCCCTCCTGCAGGAGGCGATGATCTGTGAAAATCGGGCTATAACTAGTGTCAGGAAACAGGGCTGAGGCAAGTTGGAGGGATCGTGTCTTTCACTCTCTTTTTTCTGGAAGCTCTGAACATCTCCTATCAGAACAGCAGTGGCAGGTTTAACGTCCACCCTGGTTCTTGGTTTCAGGAACCACAGGCGTCTCTGGAAGCTCCATCACCACCAGCCCTGGGACTGCGGCATCTAGGGAAGCCTCAGCTACCCCAGTCACAGGCTCTGAGAGCAAGTCAGGTAAGAAAAAGGGAAACTGTGATTTTGGAGGGATAAAATAGAGTGAATAAAAGAACTTCATTTTTGAGAAGAAAAATTAATATTTATACACATGCCAAAGGCAAAATACCACTCAAAGCAGAAGATAATAAAAGTCGAAGAAACCTTCAGAGATAAGCATTGGAGTAGGAACTCTACAGGCAATTCTAGTAAGAACAGCACTGACGTGGGGATTAGAAAACAGAATTATTTTATTTTTAAATGAATATGATGGTGTAATTAGGGCATTATCAGCTGTATGCTTATTTGCTGAATCTGGAAAATCTATATTCCTTATCTTGGGCACAACTCTTAAAACACCAGTAAGCTGAGTGAAATTTTAGGGACATACTCATTTTCAGGGGAAAAAAGAACAATCATATTTCAGGAGACCCTCATAAGATGATCAGTTCATAACTTAATTAGCTGACTTTTTTTTTTTTTGGTAATATTAAGCCTCACCTGGGGTATCACCTGGAGCAACCCCTGGACCCGGAGGTGGCAGCACCCCTGGAAGACCAGAAGCTGGAAGCACGAGCTCTGGGAAATCAGGTAAGTCTGGAAAGGATGTCTCAGCAGTTCCCACCAGGCCTCCCTCAGCAGGCTGTGACCTGGACTGAGGGTCCAACTACAACTGATATTACATTGCAGGGCCAAGGGAAATCACAAGGATAATGTCTTGGGGGACTTATATGTCCAAAAACTGAGCTGTGTTTAATAGATAAGAATAGATTTGAGTAATGTGAAGTGATTACCTTTGGTCCATTGTTGATTTCAGGACCCTCTGGTGTTTCTGCAGGACCCACCACTGTCCCTGAGAGTGAGAACACACCCGGGGCTTCAGCTACCCCAGCCACAACCTCTGGTAGCAAATCCGGTAAGAAACGTGAGAGTTCAGTGTCTTGTGCAAGAGCCTCCTCATTCTTCTTATTAAAAGAGCCTCTGATAATGTCTGTAGCTAACATTCACTTAGCACTTTTATGTGCCAGACATTGTTGTAACAGTCTTATCCATTCATTTTGTCTCTTCAACAACCCTATGCAGTGGGTCTCACTTTACAGATGAGGAAACTGAACCCAGAGTAGTTAGGTGACTTGTCTAAGTTCCCTCAGCTAATAAACTGTAATGGAGCAGGGACCCCAACCCAGGGAGTCTGACACTGTGGCCCTTATTCTTATCTAAGAAGTAATACTGTACTGTGATTTAGCAACTACCCATGTTAGGAATTCATTAGTCACTTGATAAAGTTGCAACATTTCTTAAATATTCAGTTTAGAATCCAGTTTATCACAGAGCTCAGTTACATTGCTTGAGAACGTTCCTGTGAATGATTATTATCCTTTCTCCTTGCCGTTAGGCTCCACTGGCACATCAGCTAGCATCACAAGGGAAGGTAAAAGCTCTCCTTGGTTACCTGGGACCACCGCTTCTGGAAATGAACCAGGTGAGTGAGAGTCCTTGCTCTAGTGGGGTACTCACAGCTGAATCTGTGGAGAACCTTCCTTATTCAATCTCTTAAATATTGCATCTGTGTTGTAAATATCTGATGACCTGATTAAATATTCAAATACAACAAAAGGCTATTATCACAAGTATAATGTAGTTCAATTAGACATGGTATTGACTTGATCCTTAATTTTGCATTGATACTCTTAGAATTCTGCAATATTTAAGCTTAGGGAACCAGTGGGCAAATCCTTTAAAGATAGAGGAGCAGGAAATTGGTGACTGCCTAAATTATAATCTCTATATACCTCCTTTTATAAACCAGAAAGATGAACACAGAGTCCACACCTATAGCATGATCAGGGGACAAAGACTACTAAGACCCAAATGGTAATGAAAGATGGCTCTGGGGCCTGCCTTGGAGCTGAGATTCCGGTAAGGGCACCTTGGAAGAGAGGGAGGCATAGAGAGATCCTAAAAGTGGCAGACCACAGACAGCATCAACTAGGTGTCACCCTAAGAAGGAAAGGACCAAACCTTACTGGAAAATACTGAGAAAAGATTTGAGACCTGGTGGGTCAGTGTACTGCTGAACATGGGATTTAAAGAATACTGGTGACTACGTGGAATGAGGATGAGCAGCCTTAGGAAGGAACTGCTTCTAGGGGAGAGGGAGGCATAGGGAGAGGTGGAGGAATCCTTTGAGTCTGAATGTCAAAGAAAAAAAAGTATTTCAAGCTAAGGGTCTGAATAAGACACGATAATAGCTAAGAATCAGAAGACAGACAAAGAAAAGATGCCACTTGTAAAAGAAATTACTTTTCACTGTACCAACATAAGAGGCAGAACTGGCTCTGTGCAATCTGGTGAGCCACCCTTTCTGCGGCCTCTCCGTGGGATTTCTTGCTCTTGCTGGTTTAGGGAAATCCAATGCAAGTAAACATGAAAAAGAAAAAGAAAATTTAAATATCTATACATAGCTATTTGTGTAAGATTTCAAAGTTTTCAGCATATGCAAGTAAATTCTAAAAATGTAGTCATGAAGTGGAGAACTGCAAAAAATAACACTAACATCTATTTAAAATAACTGAAGAAATAATTGCAGGTATAAGGGAACATTAAGAATGAGAGTTTAGTACACTCAGAATAAAAATGTGTAAACAACAGGAAGATGTTAAATTGGAATTGATGAAACTCAGAAGAAAAATTGAATAAAAATAAAAATTATGTCAAAAGTAAAGACTAAATAACAAAGTGCTCAGTAGAGAATAAAGGAGACTGAATGTTCTGAAAGGGGCATAGAAAATAGAATTAAAAAGAATAACATACTTTTAAAAAATATGTATAATGAATCAGGATATATTTAGAGGAAACAGACAAAAATATCTAATGTATATATTATTGTAGTTTCTGGAGAAGAAAAAGCAATGAAACAGAACTGATATTTAAAACTGTAAATCAGGAAGAGCTTCCTGAAATAAAAACAAAAGGCCTAATTTGTATATGGAAAGGGCCCACCATATACCTTTAAGAATTTATTCTGAACAGTCAATTCTGTGATTTATTTTAGAAAACTGTTAGACTTGAAAGATAAAGAAAGAAATTCTGTGTACCTCAAGGCAAAATGATCAAGTTGTTAAAAAAAAGAAAGAAAATCGGGTTAGCATCAGACTTCACAAGAGTAGAGAGTAGCATCTATAAGATAGTCAAGGGAAAACAAAAAGTGGGTCAAGGATTTTATATCTAGCTAAGTATCAAGTCTATAGAAAACCACTTTAAAACATGAAAGGGAATTTAGGGTATTATGTACCCCTGAGCCCTTCATAATCAATTCATTAGAGGATGAGTGTTATCCAACAAAGAAATACTTTGGAAGCTTTAACAAAAAAGACTAGAGCACTGACTATTTTTATCTGTAGATCTAAAACCAGAAAAAAAATTGAAAGAAGGATGGAAGAAGAGTATATAAATGTTACATACTTTGACCAAGTAAAAATGACACATCAATCTACCAACTAATCAATAATAAAAAGGAAGGAGAAGAAGGAAAACAAATCATTATGCTTATTGATTTACTCATAGGTAACAGGAAATAGTCAAAAGAATTATTTAAATCTCATGAGCCAAACTAGAGAAGCTTCAGTTTATTCCCTTGAGTACAAAATGGCAAAATGCACATTAAGAAAGAAAATGGTATTTACTAAAATTGGAACGTATAGAAGACAAAGAGTGAGAAGAGAAGAAGAAATTACAAATTAATATTATTGTTGCTAACAGGGGAGAACCAATAGATACTGCCTGAAAGAAAACTGGGTGGGTGCTAATGGGATTATATAAAAACATCACTATGAAGTAGCCACTGTTAAAAACTTTTTTAATTATTAAAAAATAAATAAAAAAACAAAAAACAGAAGTTAAGAATACATGTGGCAAAAGATAAATTGCTATAATTAAAATTTGATAGCTCATTAAAATAATATTTTTTGTTATTTTTATACATTGAGATTTTTTTTCTTACATGATATATTTTAACTTGTTTTTACTAGGAAATCAGGTAAGTC